CTTGCCGCTGCTACCGCCACATAACCAAAGTGTCTCTCCCGCAGCCACAGCACTCTCTCAGTCGCGGTGGTACGTTTGAGGTCACAGCGAGTAGTCGTGAGCAACGGGCCTCCCCCTCCCCTCGTGTTGGGCTGATCCAGGGCTGTCAGTCTGAGTCGTCAGTCCCACTAGGTTTGTGGCCGAGGAACCCTGGCAAGGACCGACGTCAGATAAACGAGGGGTAACGCATTAGTCTTCAAGCCTGGGCAAGGCTTCCTTCGCTCCACGGTTGGATATAACACGACGGGCATGTTTGTCGTGTCTCCAAATTCAACCATCGTTCCACGCCATTACACCCCACAAACCACTCCTCGGCGGCCTTCTTCCTGAGTCAACTGGTGACCTCCCCCCTCCTCCTCTTCCCCCCACTCCTCTCGAAGTGCGTGACTTTCATCCACATTATCTCATTACCATACCCCAACAACTGCCCAGGTTCTTCTTGCCTCTCCTCACCATGATGAGCCTCCAACAGTCGATCGAGGCACAGGCTCCCCATACAGCCGACGAGAATGGGGAGACGCGGCAGCAGAAGCCCAAGACTTTGCCGTGCAAGTACTGCACCAAACGCTTCAGGTGAGTGAACCAAGACCTTCCGCCTTCCTCCGCAATTACATATTAGCTTACATTGGGCTTCCATATTAGGCGTGTGGAACATGTACAGAGGCATGAGAGAACTCACACCAAAGAGAAGCCCTTTTCTTGTGGCTGGGCTCGCTGTGGGAAAACGTTTGGACGACGGTCAGTTAGCCCTGTTCCTTGTTCAACCCCCCGTGTGATTGCTCGCCTCTGGCGCCTTACCGTGCTTCCACCACGCACCATGCACCTTTCCCGCTTCCCGTTCCCGTGCTGTCACTGTCCAGTCTGTACTTTCCCAACCGGATTCTGCCCTCTAAACACCTAGCATCTCCCACATTCCCTCTTGGACACTTCGTATTTCACTCGCATCCCGACCCTTCCTTTAGCTGCCGCCGAAGAAACATGCTTATATGGACATCAGTGATCTTCTTGTCCGCCACGAAAAGCTCGTCCATCTCAATGAAGGGAATAAGGACGGTGGCCGGCCTCGGAAGCCGTCTTCGGCCGGCGCCGTTACCGGTGCCTCCGATAGCAGTCATGTCGACACCGAGATGCTCGGCATGCAACAGCAGCGGCCGCCGCCCCCGCCACAATATCACCCCGAGAGCATGGTCTCGGCAGTAGCGGCATCCCACGCTCCGGATCCACGACTAGCTGCACGAGCGCCTGCTTGCAACCTGGATCTCTTATCGGATGCGGCCACTCACCTGGCGTCGGGCGGCGAGGTCAGTTCCATGCAACAAAACATGATGCCGGGCTTGGCACCGCCGCCACCCGACCTCACACGCGTCAAACAGCAGTACGACGAGGGGATGCAGTATGGGGATCGTGGACGAGAACAGGACCCAGGTGTTATGCCAGGCGGGTTCCAGGCGCAGCCACCTCCGGCGTATAATGATGACTTCAACCTGTTCCTCGACGACTATGCGACGTCATCTCACTTCCTGCCACCCGGACTTGAAGCCGAGCAGTCATTCCCCATGTGGCCGCGCTCCGGCGTAGAGCTCGGACAAAGAGGGCCGTCGAAGCCGTCGTCGGCCTTCCCATCGAGATTTCCCTCGCTTCAACCAGATCCGAGAGATGGCGCGGATGGAGCATCCAGGATGCATGAAGAGGGCATGAGAGCCCCGGCCTGGAGGATATCGACCATGGACCATACCGTCATCAGGAACAGACTCGATGAGTTCTCGTCCGTACTTCCAAACGACTTCGTCTTCCCATCGAGACACACTTTGACGAGATTCTTGGAAGGCTACATTAGCGGATTTCACGAGCATCTCCCGTTCCTTCACATCCCGACCCTGGCTCCAACGGAGCTGTCGCCGGAATTGTTATTGGCAATTCTTGCGGTCGGCGCCCAATACCGGTTCGAAACGAACCGCGGCCATGCATTATGGTATGCAGCCAAAGCGGTGGCCCTGGAGCAGATTAGAAGGAGACACAGCCATGAAGTGCACGGTCTGCTCCCGACTCCAGCGGCGTACAGCCCTCACTCTACACGCCCGTCTCCCAGCTCAGGCTTCCGGCACTCGTTCCCATCGGCTATGCAAGAACGTCCGATGACGCAAGATACACATCGGGAGCCATAGTAAGTTGAAAGCATGTCGGGGGAATCCTCCGTTGAACCTGTGCTAACATCATCAGCTCGCCCAACACGCCACAGTCGCGGTTGGAAACAATCCAAGCTCTTCTGCTCCTCTTTGCCGTCGGGCTCTGGGGTGCCAAAGCAATTCTCCACGAAGCATTCTCCATCCAGAGCTTACTTGCTCTTCTGGTTCGGGAGGAGGGTCTCCATGCGGAACCCAATCAAGCGATGGACTGGGAGACTTGGATCCGGCTGGAGGCGAGCACTCGGACGAAGCTCATTGCCTACTGCTTCTTCAACCTGTGCAGCATCGCCTATAACACGCCGCCTCTGCTGCTGACGTCCGAGGTGAACCTGTACTTGCCGAACCCATCCAGGCTATGGAGAGCGGAGACAGCCTGGCAATGGCAGGAGGCCCGGCAGTCGTATCCCACAGCCGAGATACCACTCCAGGATGCTTTCTCGAGGCTTCTCAACCGACCATCCCAGGGGCCGCCGTCTCCCGTGTCGTCATTGGGTAACTATGTGCTCATCCACGCGCTGATTCAGCATATCTACCTCCTTAAACAGACGTCGTTCGCAAGTCTCTCGCCCTTTGACGTACATCGCGGGCTGAAGCCGGAGGATGTCGAAGAAGTCAGCCAGGCACTTCGCGTGTGGACGATTGGATTCGAGCAGCATCGCCAGCTCCGGGCCAGCGAAACCGGACAGCAGATGATTGGCGTTGACCCGTTCTCCGGAGGACCGGTTGCCTTCAACTCGACGGCTCTGTTGCGACTGGCGTATATGCGTCTGTACACCGATCTCAATCCCAGCCGAGGTCTCGAGACGCGCGACCATGTCTTGATCGCGCAGTCCTTCAGCCAGGCTCCTGTGCTCGTGCGGAGTCCTCGTCTTCATAGAGCAGTCGTGCAGGCTATCCATGCTCTTTCGATGCTGGTCAAGATGGGTGTGAACTACGTCGCGAGGACGAAATCCCTAGAATGGAGCATGCAGCATTCCCGTGAGTATAACCGCAATTTTTTCCCATGCTTTTCAGCCGCCCGACGTAGGCCATTCTGGGCCTTCCCCCCACCCGTGTTTGATCGACACTAACCGCAACCTAGTATGCAACCTCGAATGCGCAGTCGTCCTATCAAAATGGCTCATAACCCTCGCCTCCATCGGGCCCAACGAACCCCCCGCCACAGCGGAAGAGAAGAACTTCCTCGAGATGGTGCGGCGCATGCTCGACGAGACCGAGTTCGCCGTGCCCATCGACCCTTCACTGTCCGGTCCCAGCGGCGGCCACCACCCGCAACATCACCACCACCAGCAACACCGGTCCATGGACATGTCCGGCGGCGGCACGGACGCGATCAAGCTGCGCCAGCTGGCCGCCGCCGTGATCCGGCTGTGGGCCGAGACGTTCAAGGGCACGCACATCTTCGAGATCATCCGCATTATGGGTGCGGGGCTCGAGGGGTACGCGGACATGGTCGAGAAGCCGCGGGATCGGACGCCGCTGGGGCGGATGGCGCAGAATGCCGGGATGGGATGACATGAGGGTGTCCTGCGTGAAGAGCAGGGTGTGGTGGGGTGTGTACGGTCAAGAACGGTCGGTGGCGGTAGTTCGGATGGTCGGCGCTTTCGGTTCGACATAACCAGAGCGGAACCGCGAGCATATATCTCTCGCGCAGGAGCGTTGGACCTGGAGGTGGCTGGTTCCTTGGTACTTTTAGCGGGCATCACGGCGGGCCTGGGGGCCTATGCTCGGATTCATCCCGTGCAGTGTCAAGTCGGCCACAGAGGGGTTTCGTGGTCAAGTAGCCCGGGTGGCAGTTCAAGTTTCTTTCATTGTAGATATTTCTGTCCGCCTGCACTTGGCTTTCGGTATACTCGTATTAGTACGCCGCGGCGGCTGCATGCCCAGCCCTGCGACCACATCACCTTCAAAAGTAGACTTAAACTGTCACAATTCAATAGTCAACAAGGATACGTTGATTGCCGCGCGTCTGCTCCGTGACATATTGATGACCAGGTGGGCAGTTGTACAGATGACCCAGGAGGCTCTCCGGTAATAAACAAAAGTGGTATGGACCAGACACGTCTATGTAAGGTAGGAAAATGCAAAAAAGACTGACGTGAAAAGTGCAAAATGTTTCCGCGCATGAACCGAAGCCATGTCGCAGGGAAGAATTGTGATTTCGCCCGGGCTCGAACCGGGGACCTTCAGTGTGTTAGACTGACGTGATAACCAGCTACACCACGAAACCAGCTGTTATTGTTGAAGATTGTCCTTGGTATTAGCTTTTATATATGTGGGTGCTATATTTGTGGCGAAGGCGGTGAAGGTTGATATCAAAAAGGGCACGAATGTCGACAGGTCTCCACCAACCTTTACCTTATTCAAGACTTCGCGCTTCACAAACTAGAGGGGAACTGGCACGTGAGACATATTCTTCTTTAACACCTGTTTGTGCTGTAGGTATGGTGTTAAGTTTGAGCCATCACAGTTTCCCCTACACAGGTGTTACAAGTCTGTGACCAGAGAGCCCTCCTCGTAGTACCTAGGTACCATGCCATCCTCAGGGGGCCACAGATGCCGGTCTGTGCAATTGACGTCCGTCCACTTCGCCATCATGGACGCCGTCCAAATGCCATCGACGACAAAACAAGACGGAGTAAACAAGTGCTAGTTGGCAAAAAGGAACTATTCCTGCCGCACGCACCACATGCACCACATGTACCCGCCATCCCCTAACCTCGACCTCAACCAGCAAAACGCCACCTTCTGCGTGTCGCAAAAGAAAGAAGAATGCTTCCCCTCACAGGCTTGAACTGTGGACCTCTCGATGTCTTCTGCTCCCTATGTAGGAGTAAGTAACAGTCGAACGCTCTAGCCAACTGAGCTAAGGAGAATGAATCCCATGATTCGATGGAGTCGGGTGCTGCTATTTCTTGATGTTAATGACTCGTCCTGTCAAGACTGAATCGAGCAAAAAGGAGGAAGGGAGGGAAAAAAACGTACAACATCAGGGATTCCTCGGTGGTCACCCACCCGAGTACTAGTCTGACGATTACCGGCTTATCGATTTGTTTTGGGAGAGCGGACGGGATCCCGAGTTCTCCGGTATCTGTGGTCGTACGTGCTGGTGGGAGCGTTTGAGGCAGGTTATGTTGTGACAGCTAGCGAAACCTTGAGTCGTGGTCTTCCCCCTCCTCCTGTGATCGACGATTATGTGGCGTCCTCGTCGCCCACCACCCTCCTCTCAGCCGCCAACCTTTCCCTCTCCGCCCTCTCACGCTCGTGGTTCTTGAACAACGCCAGCATGCCAAGGTCATACATCGCCTTCAGCGCACCGGCGCAAACGAACGCGACCCAGAACAACTTCCTATCCGCCAGCAGCCCGGTAAGCGTGGGACTCAAACTCTGCGCCGTGCTCTTCACCACATTCACAAGCCCCATGATCGCCGTCCTCTCCCCCGGCAGGACAATGGCAGCCAGGAAGGCCGACCTCGGGGGGCCGTCCATGCTCTGCGTGCACGACCTGAGTATCAAGAACAGAAGCGAAAAGTGCACGTCGTTGGGTATCGGTATAAGCGCAAGAAACACCGCCGACGGTAAATGCGTGAAGACCATGGTATTGACGTTGCCGAACCGCTTGGCGAGGCTCGAGGCGACGAGCATGCTGGCCGCCGACACGAGGGCGGTGGTGAAGAAGACGGTCCCCAGGGCGCCCTCGGACAGGTGGTAGCGCGAGCGGAAGAAGTACGTCACCCAGCTCAGGGGGGCGAGGCCCGATGCGAAGGAGTCGAGGGCGAAGAGGAGGCTGAGGGAGACCATTATGCCGCGGCTCTCGTGACTGATTTCCGGGAGGAGGGAGGCGAGGCCGCGGCGTTTCTCGGGGGGAGCGGGTTTGGGAAGCGGAGGCGAGGCATCGCCGAGGAGTGGTGTGGTTTCTAGGTCCGGTTCAACGGATGAGGGTGTAGGTTGTTGTTGCGAGGGCGGGTCGGCCTCGACTTGCTTGCTTAGGAAGAGGATGATGGCGAGTTTAAGGGCGCCCATCACGGCGTAGCCCATGAAGACTATGCGGTAGGCTTCGACGATGGGCCAGCCTAGGTCTTTGCTGAGATGGTTGACGGTCCAGCCGCAGGTGATCATGCCGAATGCCACACCAGCTGTGGCAATGAGGTTGTACCAGGCGTAGATGTCGCTGCGGTTAGAAGATGCCGTGAGGTGCGCCACGACACTCTCTTCTATGGCGCGGAAGGGTCCGATCTCATTTCCACTGTTTAATTGTCAGGAAGCGCATCCATCTTGTTGTAGTCTCAGCACTTACCTCGGACTAATAACCCCGAAGATGGCAGCAGCAAGCAACACATAGTAGTTCTCAAACAGCGCGAAGACCACGCCGCTGCAGACCATCATGACGGCGCCCAGGGCCAGGACGGCCTTGCGCCCGATGCCGTCGGCGAAGAGCGTGAGGAAGAAGCTGATGCAGACGTCGCCGGCGATGGTGAGGGTCATGAACAGGCCGATGCGCGTCTTGGAGATGCCGAGGGCCTCGAGGTAGGAGACGAGCACGAGCGTCGACGACCCGTAGGCGAAGAGGCGCACGAAGCGCTGGGCGCAGAGGAGCTTGACGTCCGGCTTGCAGTGGTAGAGGGATAGCAGACCCAGCTCGGACAGGACTGCCGTCGCTCGGTTGCGCCAGGGGTGTGTCGCCCCTCGGGAGGGGGGAGGTGGTGGTGAGTCCATCTCGGTCTACGATGGTTGTGAGACTCGGGGTTGGTGTTGCCCGTCGTTGCTCCGAGACGAGCTGGTATTCGGGCTCTTCGGTGTGAAAACGGTTAGAGCATTACGTTCTGCACTGAGATTGTCGACTTTGTCCAGATTCAGTGTCTCGGGTTGCCATGGGTTTGTTTTTTTTCGCCTAGAGAACTTCGCATAATTGTTAGACGCGAGACACGAAAGCAGCGGCACAGAATGCTGTAGCCTAATGATCCCTCTCGGAGACGCGCAATTGGCTGATTCAGCAGGACGTCATCGGTGAGGTCTCGTCCCTCGCCATTACTCACCTTGGATGAGTGAGATGAGTGAGGTGAGTGAGATCAGAAAATATATGCCACTCGTCCATCAATCCACTCGCTATGGCATCATCTCCGATGGTAAGAGAATTTTATGTCGATGCCGGCGCCACACTCGGGCAGAAGAAGGAGCCGAGTCGGAGCCCGGGGTGGACCGGCCTCCAGCTGTTTTCAGTGGACCTTACGAAAGTACATCGTGAACGATTTCACCAATGAATCAAGTCCCTAGATTAGATTCTAGATACAATTGAACTAGATCAAGGTCTGATAGTATGTAGCCGAAAGGATATATTCAATTCACATCCTCTAAAGTTAGTGTACTTTGGTACAAGCTCACTTGCCTACCCTATACGTAATCAGCCTGTCAACTCTATAACTGAGATGGTTAACAATCCGACTTACAGCCAAGATCTTTTCTAACCTGTGCGAGACACGTCCAGTTGCTTAATACAGATTATGTTGCCATGCGAGGTCTTGAGCCGGGTTCGCAGCACCGTTAGAAGTCTCCCCATAGCGATTGTTATCTGGAAGAAACAAGTGATATCCCGGTATGTAACGACGATGGCCCCCTTGTCGAAAAATAGTAGTGGACTTAAACTTATCCTTGACGTCCGCATGACGTTACTTTCGCATTTCTAAAAGTCGATATTTCCTGTTGTCCTTCCACTGGCCGAGACGGCTCGGCACATCCCGGTGGCTTGCCGGACGTGGGATGCAAAAAGGCGGTGGGCGTCCTTGAAGCGTCCGAACCGACCAGTGTCGCATCTTCCATGTGGTTTCTCCCGCGGAGATGTTGAATGTGGTAGAGTGACCCGGGATCGGGTATTCTTTCCAGGAACTTGCCTCGTCCTTGCATGAAGAAGCTGCACTGCCGTCCCCGGATGATAGAGGATGAGTGACCCCCATGCATTGAAAGTAATCGGATGCCACTGTCAAGCGTCCAATGATGCTGACTGAACATCTCGACACCACTGGGCCACGATAACCGACGTGCCAGCCGCGTCTGTTTCGCTCTGTTCTTTCATGGCATTGGAAATGGTTCCCCCAATCGGCAGACCCAACGGCGGTTGGTACGCTTAGGCGTTGTGACTGGATGCTATGCAATGCTTCCCTGGCCTGACATGGAAGCATGCCGTGGCAGGTTTTCGGGTCTTGTGATATTCAAACCTGCAGCTCTGGCGTTCCGCTTGTTCGGATTGGTCGGCGGCCTGTATGGTACTCTCCTGTATGCCGCAGCTGGGACATACACAGGGCCTCTTTCGCATCGCCGGCCGCGGGCGAGCCGGTTGGCCATCCCCCTTTAGTCAAACTGTTGCGAATATCCGTGTCCAGTGACGAAAGTCAATGACGGCCCCGGATGGCTTTCTCCTTCTCGTCAGATTTGATCCTAGGTGCTAGCGCAGCGGCCGTGGGAGGGCTTGGGAGGCGCCGTCGACGCTTCGTTACTATGGGAGAGTTCATGGTAAGAGAGCCGAGTTTCTCAACGTCCGATGGCCGGGAGGGAGAAATGCTGATGGCTGCGTACCCCCACGTAAGGCGCAGGAAGGAAAAGTTTGCGTTCGAAAATCCGAGCTCATCGCGACCTTTGGAAGCAATTAGCTACATCGCAACTTGTTGCATAAGGTCGAAGGGCAATATTGCTGGGAATGACTTACCTATCATGGAACAAGGCAGAAATGAGACGGGCACATGCGCGTGCAGCGGTCTCGGGTCGAGGGGGGCGTACCATAGAAGGCTTGCTGTAGAGGACGACAACCGAAGACTACTCCCCAGCGTGCCAAACCTTACAAACAGGGAACTCCAATGGTTGTCATGCAGCCGGCCGTAGTGTTGGGGAGACCAGGGTACATAGTCTGATATGGCCAGAGCTGTCGTGGTGTTGCCCCTTGACTGGCGTGGTGTTGATGCTTCGGAACCGGCTCTTCCTGGAGTGACAGAGCCATGGAAAGCCGCTGCAAGGTTGAGCTTGACCACTAAGGACATGATTAGCTTCAGTCGACGACATCATACCCACTTTGCTCTCTGTCAAATCCGCGAACTCTTCTACAGTTCGGAAACAAATTGCCCGTCGAAGTAGTCCGCCACAAGGGTATCGGATTCTGGCGTAGACATCGAACTCGCAGGCTCGCGAGGCCTTATGAAGGAATTCGGCGAGAGCCGGACAAAGCTGTTAGTTAGGCAACAAATGACTACTGTCTCCTATGACCCAGATGGCAATCTCTTCTCTGCTCCTTGTCCCATAGCAGGCGTCCCTGCTTAGGACAAGAGGGGAGGTGATTCTACCGGACAGAGTCCGGTTTCTGTCTATTGCGACCGAAGCTCAAGTCTCAGCAACTGCAGCTCTGGGTGCGCAGAGTGTACCGTCTGGAAAGTTCCTGAGAAGACTGCCATGTGCCCACCCATGGTGCAGAGTTGCAGAGTCGCGGCGCTTTATTTCGGTATGAGACCCAATCCGCAAGGCGTGCGGCTGGCTTGATATGTTAAACCGTGCCTCCTTCCGGTCGTGCTTGGAAGGCCGATTTCTAAGGCCTCGTCATCTGCGCCTTGTATCTTGATGTCGTGGATGCAGTTACACCTCCAGCTGCTTGGTAAGAAGCGTACGTTTCCCCGTATGAGACACGGTCCGAGTAATTTGGTCACAAGCCGAGGCCAGGAGTTGCCGCTTCGGCCTTTGCTTCTGCCGAGTTCATGTACTGTTCGGCCTCCGTTACAACGGAAGTCTGATGTGACTTGTCAACTCGGACGCTTCGACTGTGCGAGGGAGCAGCGGCGCTAATAGCTTGACGTGCGTGAAATCGCACGTATAATCTCCCATTGGCTGGAATATACCT